ATGGGTCTAGGGCAGTCGTTGTTATAGGAAAAGGTGCGGAAAAAAGGTGCGCAAATGTCCCAGGTGCGCAAAAAAAAGGTCGCATTTGTCCCACTCCCGATTTCTCTAGTCGATCTGATCTTTAATGTCATTCTATGCACATTTGCTATCTATTAACACTCAAGTCACGTAAAAATTTGATAAGTTTATCAAAAGTTTATGACAAAAAGTACTTTATATACTTATTGACGGATGTATCTGGGAATCATTTAAATAATGAAAGAATTTGCATTTAAAGATACCAGTGCTGGATTGAGTTCGATATCCTCCGGTATATCCAAATCGGGTCTCATCGGCATCGATCCGCCCTTCTTTATCATATATAAGAGCTCTAAAATTAACTTTTTTCTTATCTTTCATTCTAAAGACTATCTTCTTTCTAATCTTCTAAAGACTATCTTCTTCTAAAGACTATCTTCTTCTAAAGACTATCTTCTTCTAAAGACTATCTTCTAAAGACTATCTTCTTTCTAATCTTCTAAAGACTATCTCCTAAAGACCATCTTCTTCTAAAGACTATCTTCTTTCTATCCAAAATTCGCATTTACCCTCAATCTTCTCATTTCGATTCTCCAAATCGTAAACGATCTCTGATCTGATCTGATCGTAAACGATTTGGTGAATCGAAATGAGAAGATTCAAGGTTCAGAGATGGTCATTAGGAGTTCTGGAACCCGATTTTAAACCCAAATCAATTTCCTTTACCTTCAATCTTCTCATTTCGATTCTCCAAATCGTACACGCCTTTCCTAGTGACGATCTCCGAACAGATTATCGCAAAAGCATAAACATCGGCTTCTTTGTTTCCTAGGCCATCTGAGTAGCGGAGAAGCTCGGGTGCATGCCATAATTGCTCTGGAAATATGAATTTAATATTTTCACCATATCTGTCTCACTTCGCTTGTCGACTTTTTCGCCTCTCCTCAGACTCGAGCATCCATAGCTGCTCACTTTCAACTGCCACCTTTCATCGATCCAACAAGTCGATGAGCTGAAAGATGAGTTCCAGATTGGGGTTTCTGTGAATTTCTAGACTTTAGATTCCCATGGAGACCCAGGAATGACTTGTGGATGAAGCTCAACCCCTCCGAGAGGTCACGAATCAATGACATGGCAAAGAAAGCATCCAAAGTGATTGTAGATTTTGAGATCACTTCCTGAAACTTGAAATTTCCACATTTAAAGGCAATAAAGCCAATAAACAACCTCAAGGGTTCCCCTACTGGCAAATTTCCAAATTGACATCATTGGAGAGTGATCGTGGCAAATCCCGATGAACCGGTGCACGTTGTCGTGTTCCATTTTTCGGAGCTGAAATTCTGGATGTCAGAAATAGTTGTTCACTGTTTTTTTGGGGCAATTTTGGTTACTATTTATACTATTTATTACTAGGGAATTACTATTTATACTAGACTTCGGAAAACAAAACTTAACCAAAACCAAAACTAACCAAAACTCGCCAATATCTCGCGACTGGGAGGAGCTAGCGAAAATCTGTTTGCAGATTTGAAATCAGCATCCAAAAATCTATCCCATAGGCTATTTTTTGTTTCGAAATTTCGAGGTCGTGTTTGTTTTGGTCCTGGTTTTGGTTTTGGTTTTGGTTTTGGTCTGTTTTGGTTTTGTTTGCCGAACTCTAATTTATACTATTTATTTCATCACCCATAAAAAGCTTTACCCGAAAATCCCAATATGGGTTTTCTAAAACGCTTTTTTGAGAAATCATCGTGCAGAAACTTTTTCCGAGAACTTTCTTTCCAACCTAATACATATTCCGGCAGTTAAATGCTAATCCCCAGTATATAAAGCTACTAATAACGTTGCTTACATCTTCGAGGCTGGATCAGTCTATCCACATCAAGAAAAAAAGTCACTCACCAGTCTGAACTCGGCAAAATCCTCATTCGTCAGCTTTGGCAGCATTTTGTACTTGTACGCCATCACCGGCTCACCTGAAAAGCGGAAATTTCTAAAAGCTATGGAAAATTGTAACCTTCAAACCAGAAATACGCAAGCATTTCCGTTTCACCCTTGCTGCCCATTGAGAATTTCGAATGTGAGGACTTGGAGGATTTGGAGGAACGCAGGGAGTGCATGCTTTTCTCTTCCATCTGAAAGTTCATTCTGGATGTCAACTTGAGATTTGGTGATAGAATTGGGGAGTACTTGATCATTAGTTTTCGTTCGTTCGTCCGTTACAAGCCTACTTTCTACTTTCTAGCAAAATCGCTTTCTATAAAAAGTTAAGACAAGTGTTACAGTACCCTACTACCGTACCGCTGGCCAAGCTGGCCAAGCCAAGGCACATTGGCCAAGCCAAGGCACATTGGCCAAGCCAAGGCACATTGGCCAAGCTAGGGCACACTGGCCAAGCTACTGTACCCTTCTAGGAAAATTTACAGTAAACTACCGTACCCTACTGTTCCTTCCATTTGGTCTCTCCAATTGCAGATATGGCACAGTCCATTCGGCATCTCTTCTCTCCAATTCTTTGCGCTTTTCTCTGAAATTTCTCTTGTTCCCTTTATTCTTGATTTCACACCTCAAAACATAGCATCCAAGGAATGTGAACAAAATGAGAACAATCAAAACGACGCCGACTCCGATACAAATGTACAACCCGTTTTGTTGCCATGTTGACAATGGGCAATCGGTGCCGAGAAAGCTGGAATGGAGAAATTGGATATGTACCGTAGTCCAGAAGTCTGTAGTACACTATAGTACAGGCTACAGCAACCTCTACAGCTACAGCAACCTCTACAGCTACAGCAACCCCTACAGGCTACAGCAACCTCTACAGCTACAGCAACTAGATCGAACCCGCAAGCCGGAGTCGCTAGTGGTCTGACACCGCCTCGTAAAGCCCAAATCGAGGAAGCTTCGTCGAGATATAGCGGAGTGGCGACCTAAAGTCATTCTTCGAACTCTGATGAGCTACAAGTACGAGCCAGAGCTGGGTTCAGGCTTCAAGAATCGGATTTTAATCTCGTTAATCCCGTGGTGAATCCCATTTTGCCCATAGAAGCGTTCAACAGCGTTCAACTCCAATTGCAAGCTCCAAATTCCACTCACCATGTAATCCCCAGTCCCGGTCCAGGTAAAGTTCATAAATCTCGTCGTCGACTGTCCATCGGCCATCATTCCATAGAGATAGAAACGGGGGACTCGAGTCACGTTTGGTGTCATTTGAATCATCCCGGACCAGCCTGGAAATCATAGATTCACGGTTTAATTATATATAGTACTACAGTAGAGAGCTGTACTCTTACAGTCGACACTTCTCTACAGTACAAGCTACAATAGTCTACACTGAACTACTATGAGCAACGATTAGATTAGACGATCGAATCATCTTTAGAATTCATCTTTTTCGGTGTACTTTAGTTCACTCAAAAAGGCACAAGCTCTTGAGATTCTCTATTTTTTTGAGCTATAGATCGTGTTAATCCAATAGATTTAAAGCAAGTTAGAAGCGTTTGTAGTTGGCAGTGGACAAGCTACAGTATCCCGGTAGCTCTTCGAGTTGCTTTAGTCACCAGTCTTACCCGGGAACGAGACAGTCGTGCGAACCATGTTGAACACAGTCTCATTCCTTCCGCCATTTATCGGATCAAGTGCCCAAGATGCATTCAAACAATAGGCGAAATACATGAAAGCATCGTAGAGTTGAGGAGCGAATGAACCGATCTGTAGAAAGGCATTTTGGATCATTTCTTTTGGATCATTTTTTGGATCATTTCTTTTCGATTACCCCATTATATTGATTGTTGTTGAGGCAGTCTGTCGTATCGCAATAGAATGGATCTCCGCGGATATTCGCCAGCACTTGTGGAGCCAATTGAGCTGTTGTCATGCCGTTCACTGTTCCTTGGTTGTTCAAATCGACCTGGGAATTTGATTTGAGTTTGTCTCATTGAATCGGAGCACAGAATCCTAAAAATCTCGGGGACAGATGCTCAAATTTAGCGCCCAATCAATCTTGCACAAATCTTTAGAATAGCTTAACAGAACGCAGCATTTGTATCAGAAATACAGGGCAACGGCGCCCAAAACAACTGTCATAATACTATCGTAAGGTTAAAATAGAGTGAATTCGAGCGGTTAAATATCAAAGTAAAATGAAATGTAAAATGAAAACAAAGGGCGGGGATCGAACCCGAGCAAACAATCGACAGCTTGTTTTAGAAACAAGGCACTTATTACCACTACACCACAGGTCCACGTTTGGAGAGGGTGAAAGAGACGTTGTCAAGGGGACCTCTATCGGGCCCGTGTGCCAGGCAGCGAGCGATTACCCGGCCGCACAAAGAACACCTCGCTTGGAGAGGGTGAAAGAGACGTTGTCAAGGGGACCTCTATCGGGCCCGTGTGCCAGGCAGCGAGCGATTACCCGGCCGCACAAAGAACACCTCGCTTGGAGAGGGTCAAAGAGACGTTCTCAAGGAAAACATCTCTGTATCGGGCCCGTGTGCCAGGCAGCGAGCGACTACCCGGCCGCACAAAGAACACCTTGCTTGGAGAGGGTCAAAGAGACGTTCTCAAGGGATCTATCGAGCCCGTGTGCCAGGCAGCGAGCGATTACCCGGCCGCACAAAGAACACCTCGCACATTTACATGATTTTTATCTTTTGCATTGTAAATGGCATAAAATAAAGATATTCAGCTGTAAATTTGCACCCTGGGGTTTTCGGGGACGGAGAATCGATTGGAGCTATTCATTTTATTGAGTTTACCAATTCAAACCCGGGTTTGGTCTAAACTTTTGAGCGTCTTTTCCTGATTTTCACTGTTCCTTGGTTGTTCAAATCGATCTGAAATCTCGTACTGGAGGCAGGATAGGTTTCTTCAGATTTCGGTCAGATTTTCTTCAGATTTAGATGACTATTAGATCTGGATTATCTGCAAGATTTGAGGATTTAAGGATCGACCATTTATCTTGCTCTTAACTTGCTCAGGATTCAGCCTTGAACCTGGAAAATCTGTCCTGGAATGCACGAGAAAATTGTAAGAATTTTTGAAAGCTCAAATTTGAATTTTTGGGCCAATCCCAAAAATCTCACCACAAGGAATCTCGTGGCAGCCCTTTGCGCAACAATGTTCATTCCATCTTGATTATTGTTGATTGTATCGATCCACATCGGGGTCAACCCATTCGATACTAAAATGTTTGGATAAATGTTACTGATGGGGGGTGAAAGTAGGCCCTGACTTAAGGCCCTGACTTAAGGCCCAATAGCTTTCTGGCTTTTTGGATTCTAGAGCTTTGGATCACTACCGTACACCTAAATGAAAATAATTTGGTCTAAATTCACTCGATCAAATTGAAAACTTCTCACAAGTTTGTGTCCCCGGTGGTCCTTGTCCCAGTTGACCCATCCCAAAGCCTTTAAGATCCAACAACACATACACGTAGTCGGAGCTAAAATTCTTTTGCATTGTTTTGCAGAGGGAAATCCCTCAATTTGGAAAGATTTGAACGGGATTTGTGGTGAAATTCAATCTTTTTTTCAAATTCTTTTCAATTTTTCAATCTTTCAATCTTTTTTCAACCCACGTATTCATCCCGGTCAAAGTGGTGGCGATGAGAAAGTCCCTCTTAAAGCGACCTTCTGGCAAACAAACGGCGATTACTGAAAAGAAGTGAAATGTTCGTAATCGATAGGGAACTTCAAGCACTTCATAGGCTTCATAAAACTTCATAGTTTCAAGAACGTTTCTGGAAACGGAACAAGGGAACGCAAGGAATAAGTTTCAGAAGCTTATCAAAATAAGTTTCAGCGCAAAAATCTATACAAATATAAGGCTTCTTTCACCGTCTCGAAATTTCAGCTTTTGGTCTAGTGGATATTGTTTCCGAAGCAAGTCATCTTTGCTCTTTGCTCGGGTTCGTTTCTTCCTTTTGTTTTTCAACTTCAAACCCTTCATAGTCATTTCAAGAACGTTTCTGGAAACGGAAGAAGAAAAGGTCACAAGGCTGAGGTGGTCAAATGACATTGTCAAATGGCATTGCCAAATGACATTGTCAAATGGCATTGCCAAATGACATTGTCAAATGGCATTGCCAAATGACACTGATTCCGATGCTGCTATCCGTTTTTGCAAAATGATTCGGAAACGCGAGAAATCTAGTATTATTTTTTTTCCCCTTTTCCTTTTTTTTTTTTTTTTTTTTTTTTTAAATTTTTTATTTTTTTTTTTATTTAAAAAAAAAAAAAAAAAAAAAATAAAAAAAAAAAAAAAAAAAAAAATTTTTTTAAAAAAAAAACCATCTTTTTTTTAACTTTTTAAAAATTTTTAATTTATTTTAAAAAATTTTTTAAAAAAAAAAAAAAAAAAAAAAAAAAAAATTATTTTATAAAAAAAAAAAAAAAAAACCTTTTTTTTTTTTTTGTTTTTAAATATTTTTGAAATTGAAATCCTTGAAACATTCGATTTTTTTTGAATAATGAATAATAAAATGAATGAGTTTTAAGTTTAAATCCTGTTTATTTCCCCGAGAAGCCTCGAGTTTCTTTTCTGAGAATTCTGAGAATTTTGAAAAATTCTTGATCTTGAGAATAAAAAAAATTGTGACGATGGAGGATAAATTTCAAAAAGTTTCAAAAATTACAAAATAATGAACAATTTCAGAAACAAAACCAACCTCTGGCTTTCGATTTGATCTTGAGAAGCGCTGCAACCATTTGTTGTTGGCTAGCGTTCACCTCCAGCCGTTGACTGCTTGTGATCGTTGATGAGTTGAACGCCGGATCGTTCACAGTATCCTAAATCTCAAAATTTGGTTAAAGAATGGTTTAAAAAATGCGCTGTGCGTTCCAGCTTCCACAAATCTATCATTTTTCCTCACCGTCACATCGCTCATCATTGTTGGGCAATTGTTGTAACCAGCATCTCCATAAATGAGAGCCACAGTGTCCCTAGAATTATTTTTTTAAAAGAAAATTCGGAAATTCTCACCAATTGAACATTTGCGTCAAGGCGACGAATGAGAAGCCGAGTCTAAAAATGGTTAGAACAGATATAAAAACAGATAACTCACTGTCGAAAAGTTGGGACTACTGTAGTCACGTAGGGGAAGCGGGTATTGTCAGCAAGAGTCGCTGCTGAGGCGAAACCCCAAACAACCTGGAAGATGGTGTCACAAAAGTTTAGATGTTTTTAGCTAGATGTAAAGATATTGTAAAATCTCACTACCAGCCCTAAAGCTACCGTAAATACTGTAATAGTACCCCACCCCCATAATGACGGTGCGGAGCGTTGCGTCGTCTAGCTTAGAACGCGTTTTTCTTGACACTGGTTTATGCTACAAAGTGCGCTTAGGTATCAAATGATAGCTGAGATTCAGAGCTATTTTTTGATACCAAACTGCACATTGTAGCATAAAGGAGCGCGAAGAACGGGATGTTTAAAGTTAGACTACGCAACCATCCCGAAAAAACGCGTTTTTCTCGACACTGGTTTATGCTATAATGCTCGTTTAGGTATCAAAAAATAGCTCTGAATTTCAGCTTTCATTTGATACCTAAGCGCGCATTGTAGCATAAACGAGTGTCGAGAACAACGCATCCAAAGCTAGACTACACAACACTCCGCACCGTCATTATGGGGGTGGGGTACTATTACAGTATTTACGGTAGGCATTTTTGGGACTTTTTTGAGTTTCAATTGATCGACTTAATAAAATGAATGCCTGCTGCTTTTTCTAACCTGAACTGTTTGAAAGTATGAGCTGAGAAAGCCGACTGGTGGAATTGCTAAAAGTGAAATCGTTTTTTCACCAATCACATCGAAATAAAGTCACCAGTAGCACACGCCGGTCCAATAATCACATCGACTTGTCGCTCTTTGATCATATAGACTGCAATCCCCGCCGCGTTGGCTTCAGTGCAATCGGTGTAGTTGACTACGAATCTGAAAATTCAAACGTTTATTAGCTGGGCTGAAAGATCAAGATCGACTATTATAGTCTTCAAATGACCAATTTGAGATAGGGAACAGGCTGCCTGCTTCGTGGCTTACAAGACAAAAGAATGCAAACAACTGCAGGAGCTAGGAGAATTCAAGAATGTTAACGAACTGGCCCAGGTCTATTCAAATCTAGAGGCTTGCTTGTGCAATAAATAAGAAATTGTAGAGCCTGCTTACGGATCTGTTTCCCGAACACTGACTCACTCAAAGTTCATGTTATCCAGTAGATGTTGTTGAGCAATTTGTTGTAGAGCCAAAGGGATCACTCCTCCAGTGACCGAGAAGCCGATATTCGCTTGCTGGCTCTCGGTGACAATCATTCCAACGAGATACGTTGCTCTAGTCGCATTTCCAGATGTTGGAGTTGTTAGAGGTGGAGTTGTTAGAGTTGGAGTTGGAGTTGCTGGAGTTGGGGTTGCTGGAGTTGGAGTTGGGGTTGCTGGAGTTGGAGTTGCTAGAGTTGGAGTTGCTGGAGATGGAGTTGCTGGAGTTGGAGTAGTCGTTGGACTCAATGTGGTCGGAAAAGTCACCGGAAACTAAAGAACTTGGATGTGTACATTGACGTACATTGTACAGGAGTGTACATTGACATCCAGATTGATCAATTTAGCTTTTAAAACCTACCGTAATCCCTCCAATAGTCACACTCGATTGAGCTACCGTTTCTTGGAAGAAGAAACAAATCCAGAAAAGCCAAAGCATTGTGTGAGTACCAGATAACAAAACTGAGAAAACTAAATTTTATAAACCTGAGAAATAGGACTTTTATTTTCAGTAGAAGGGTTTCTGATGAGATCAGAAGATCGAGAAGGGGGAAATCTTTCAGAAAAGATTTCGAAAAGACTTCGAAAAGAGTTTCCTCCTCCCATCTTTTGTTGATTCGATTGAAATGTGTCATTTCTGGCCGCATTTTCTCGATCTTCGTCACCCTGGACGAACTTTTTCAACTTTTAATCCAAGTTTTGAGGTTTCTGTTCAAAGCCGCATTCAAATAACGATCAACTTTGGCCATTACTCATCATTTCTCCGTTTTTCAAGTTCAACAATCGAACCAAGCTCTAGGTAGCGATAGGATTTCAACTCAACAGATGATTTCATACAGTTCTCAAATGTCTTTAAGATTTGGGATTAGTCAGAAGTCAGAAGTAGCCAGAAGTGATTTGTTCTCAACCCTCAAGAAGCATTAACAGAGTCAATTTGTTTGGGTACACTGAAGAACGAAGAACACAAATCATTTTCAGTTATCGATCAGACTACCGTAAATACTGTAATAGTACCCACCCCGATAATGACGGTGCGGAGCGGAGCGTTGCGTCGTCTAGCTTTAAACGCGTTTTTCTCGACACTGGTTTATGCTACAATGCTCATTTAGGTATCAAAAAATAGCCCTGAATTTCAGGGCTATTTTTTGATACCTAAACGAGCATTGTAGCATAAACGAGTGTCGAGAAAAACTTGTTTTTTCGGGATGGTTGCGTAGTCGGAGTAGACTTTCTGAAAAAGAGACTCATAAGTAAAGTTCTGTGTTAATATTTCAATGATTTTCGTGATTTTTAAAAAAAATAATAGATTCACCTTGATTTAATAGCTTTATTTTAGAGTTTTTAACTAATAAAATGTAACATGGTAACATTAATCTTTTCCACTATTTTGAATAAACAAATTCTTTCGATTTGGCATTGTTTTGATGAAAAATCTGAACACGATTCGATTTCTATTAAATAAAAAACTTTTTAAACACACCGTAAATACTGTAATAGTACCCCACCCCCATAATGACGGTGCGGAGTGCTGCGTAGTCTAGCTTTGAACGCGTTTTTCTCGACACTCGTTTATGCTACAATGCGCGTTTAGGTATCAAAAAATAGCCCTGAATTTCAGCTATTTTTTGATACCTAAACGAGCATTGTAGCATAAACGAGCGTCGAGAAAAACGCGTTCAAAGCTAGACTACGAAACGTTCAAAGCTAGACTCATAAGTAAAGTTCTGTGTTAGTTAATCTTTCTAATCAAACTCTAATAGAAACAGCAATCCTTTCCACTTTCATTTGATCCTTAAACAAATTAAAAACCAAAATACTGTTGTCAATATACCGTAAATACTGTAATAGTACCCACCCCGATAATGACGGTGCGGAGCGGAGCGTTGCGTCGTCTAGCTTAGAACGCGTTTTTCTCGACACTGGTTTATGCTACAATGGGCGCTTAGGTATCAAAAAATAGCTGAAATTCAGGGCTATTTTTTCATGCCAAATACGCACTTTTTGAAAGTACGGGCGCTTTGAAAAAAAATGAAATACTAACGACTACGCGACTACGCTCCGCACCGTCATTATGGGAATGGCCCTGAAATCAAAAAATAGCCCTGAATTTCAGCTATTTTTTGATACCAAAGAAGTATTTTTTTGAAAGTACGGGTGCTTTGAAAAACAATGAAATACTAAAACAACTTTTGCGACTACGCGACTGTACGAAGGGGGGTCGGGTACTATTACAGTATTTACGGTACGTTTAGTTGGAGGTTTAGCTGACTGTCATACACATTGAATGCACATCTATCGCTGTTAAATTTTACAATATTCATTCTGATATCACTCGAAGAATTCAGATAACCTTTTGTTTTCTTTTTCTTTTGCGTTGAAACTTTTTCAACTTCAAAGCTTCAGAAAGCAATGTATGAAGCTTAACTCGACTATTGATTAGTCAATAGTCGATTAGTCATTGATTGATTAGTCATTGATTAGAAAAAAAAAGCCGGAAAATAGATTTTGTAAAAAGTGGAAAGTTTGCAGGGGTAGGATTCGAAGTTGGGGCAAAGAAAGTGATAAGTTTCGATAGTCGATCAGACGATCCACTAGGCCGCCGACGTATTTCTTTGGTTTTTGTGTGGCGTCTTCATTTTGGGGAAATTTAGGGCCCTTTTCTATGCCAGATATCTCGCGATTGTAAAGCGTTCTGCAAAAAAAACTAAAAAGCGAATTCGAGTTGCCCATGACCGACTCTATAAGATGGATTCTCGAATCAAAAGGCCACTTTCAGTTGGCACCAGTCCTTAGTGAGTGTTTTTTTCAGTCTTTTATAATTTAAATCCACATCTATCGCTGTTAAATTTAAAAAATATTGATTCTGATATTATCAAAGAATTCAGATAACTATTTCTTTTCTTTTCTTTTTGCGTTGAAACAACTTTTTGCTTCAGGCTTCAGGAAGTAAAGCTTCAGGAAGTAAAGCTTCAGGAAGTAAAGCTTCAGGAAGTAAAGCTTCAGGAAGTAAAGCTTCAGGAAGTAAAGCTTCAGGAAGTAAAGCTTCAGGAAGTAAAGCTTCAGGAAGTAAAGCTTCAGGAAGTAAAGCTTCAGGAAGTAAAGCTTCAGGAAGTAAAGCTTCAGGAAGTAAAGCTTCAGGAAGCAATTTTTGAAGCTTAACTCGACTATTGAAAAAAAAAAGCCGGAAAATAGATTTTGTAAAAAGTGGAAAGTTTGCAGGGGGGAATTTTTGAAGATTTTACGATTGTATGGCTTCTCAAACTTGTGATTCTTCTTGTTACGTGTTTTTTTTTTTGCTTTTTGAGGCATCCTGGGGTGCAAAAGTTTCAAATTGAGTTAGAAGTTTTTTTAAATGAGTCATAAAAAGTGGGAGAGATCAGTGAAACCGGCAGCTTGGATACCCATATGAAAAAGTCGACATTTTTTAGTTTTACCATGGAATTTTTTGGCTTTTTGACCTTTTAAAACCCAAAAACATAAAGATTCCATTGTCAATATCAACTCTTGGATCAACTCTATCAGCTCTTGAACTCGAACTGTGTAAATGGACCTTGAGTTTTACTTTGGATTGAATTTTAAACTTACCGTACTTGTCTGCTTGTCTGCTGTCTGCAACTGAGTTCTGCTTGTCTTTTTATCATAAAACGTAAGCCCTTCGCTGAGCCGCTGAGCTCGTTTTTGTTGTATCCAAGCATTACAACTAGTAATGGCTGGATGGTTGGATAGCTGGATGGTTGGATAGCTGGATGGTTGGATAGCTGGATGGCTGGATGGCTGGATGGCTGGATAGCTGGATGGCTGGATAGCTGGATGGCTGGATGGCTGGATGGCTGGATGTATTCCAGGGGCTCCTTGTTAAGACGTTTTCTAAGGAAAAGCTATTTCGGGGCTCTTTGAACTTGCATCCCCTCGCCATTGCTATGCTTTAAATTTGCTACAATGAAATCCTTTCAATTTTTGTACACAAAGCTACCGTGTCCCTAGAATTTTTGGTGGAAAAATCACAATGTTTTCTTGGCGTTTCCTCGCAATTCATAGAATTCATCGCAAATAATAGAATTTTCTGGTAAAATATATAAAATTCACAATCAAAAATCATTCAATCGCATCATCATCAGGTAATTTCTGTGTACTTGACGACTCCATTCTCGTCTGGTGGAGTTGTCGAAATCTTTCTCCATCCATTGGTGGAGTTGTCGAAGTTCTCGTCGTGAAACGTGGCGGTTCCTTTGTAAATTGAATGTAAATCGGGGCTCTTAAAGTTTGAGTCTGCTTTAGATTTGCATACTACTACAATAAAAAGCTACCATTTGAAAAGCTACCGTATCCTCATAATTTTTAGCGCAACATTTATAATGTTTCCTTGCCATTTCCCTCACAATTCATCAAATTTATCGAAATATTCGAATTTTCTGGTAAAATATATAAAATTCACAATCAAAAATCTCATTCAATTTCATCATAATCAGGCAATTTCTGTGTACTTGACGACTCCATTCTCGTCTCATGATCCATTGGTGGAGTTGTCGAAGTTCTCGTCGTGAAACGTGGCGGTTCCTGTGTTTTCGTCGGTGGCGGTAAATCGTCCTTCCTCAAGGTAGCGATTGGTAGAGTTGTTGTACCGATGGAACGAGCGTTCAACCAATACGTCTCCATCACTCCCTTTCCCTAGATTTTCGATTCAATGACATCCAGATTTGAAAGATCTCTCACTTTTATGATCACCTCTCCTCTTGATTCAACTTCATAGCCGCCGATTCGATTCAGTAGAGAGCAAGCGTCATTCGACATGTGAATTTTGCCAGCTGAAAAGCTGCCAGCTTTGAGGTTCTTGAAAAGATGTTTTGCTCACGTTTCCCGTTGCTTTCCATCCTGGATGCTGTGTTTACTGTGTCACCGAATAAACAATATCTGAAAACATCAGGATTTGAGTGATACGGCACTACGGCAACACTTTTTTCTGTCATTTAAGAGATTATGATTCAGGGCATTACGATGGCCTTGCGTTTTAGTCCAAATCAACCTACCGTAAATACTGTAAATACTATAATAGTACCCCATCCCCCTCGTACAGTCGCATAATGACGGTGCGGAGCGTTGCGTCGTCTAGCTTTGAACGCGTTTTTCTCGACGCTCGTTTATGCTACAATGCTCGTTCAAAAAATGCGTCTTTGGTATCAAAAAATAGCTGAAATTCAGGGCTATTTTTTGATACCTAAGCGCGCATTGTAGCATAAACCAGTGTTGAGAAAAACTCGTTCAAAGCTAGACTACGCAACGCTCCGCACCGTCATTATGGGGGTGGGGTACTATTACAGTATTTACGGTAATCATACCTCGGCATGGCTAATCCGACTACTCCAGCCACACAAGAACCCGAATGCATTCCAATTCGGAGATTAATTGATTCAGAGGGGAGGTGAGGGACACGGAAGAGCTGAAAATTGATCGGTTATTGGGTTGTTACGAGTCTAGGCCAGTCTTTGAGAGATAGGTCATATCAGAAACCTATCAGAAATGATATTAGTTTGATGTTCTTATCAGAAACCTCTTAAATGATACACCAGGGAACCCCCTTAAAGTTGAATTTCAGGAGCGATCTGATTCCGAGATGAGAACATCCCGAAACCGCTTTCAAATCCTGTTTATCATAAGGTATTTTTGAGAGAAAAGCCTCCACAGTTTCTGCCAATCTTGCACTGCCAGCAGGCTAGAGAACAGTGTAGGCCTATCTACGCAAAAAAGAGGCTGTTGGGTCAATTATTCAAACCTCAGAAGATGTGTCACATCAAACTAATATCATTTAAGAGGTTTCTGATATGACCTCATATCTCAAAAAGCCTGCTGGCAGTGCTTTGGCATTGGCAGAAAGATTGGCAGAAACTGTGGAGGCTTTTCTCTCAAAAATAGCCTATGATAAGTAAGATTCGGTTTCTGGATGCCGTTAACATCAGAACGTTCCTGTAATGTAACTTCAAAGGGTTGCCTGGGCAGGAGCTAGACCCGGCCTTGTGATGCCTGGTTTGGTCTTCTTATATTCTAAATCCATCTATTTTCTCTTACCTGCACTGCTCTCAAAAAGTTCAACGACATCTCGGCGATTTCTTTCACGTGTTGGATTCCATTTCGGTAGGGGAGACCAGAGACACAAAGATAGCCATCACCGATTGTTTCCACCTGAAATTCCAGAGATGAACTTGTTTTTGAGGCAATTCTAAGCAATCCTAAGCAATCTTAAGCAATCCTAAGCCACTAACAACACAACCTAAGCAACCTAACACCTAACAATCTAACAATCAGAGCACCTAAGCAATCCTAAACAATTCTAGAGCAATCCTAAGCAATCTTAGGCAATACTTTGTAAACAGAATGTTGCTCGATGATCTGATCAAATGTGGTGTAGAGATCGTTGAGGAGGTTGACGATCTGAAAAGATTTAGCTGAAAGAGAGAAGCAACTGGCCCTTTTTACTTGTAAGGGCGTGCATTTTGCAGCCAAATTCGTGAATTGAACCACATCGGAGAAGAAAATTGTGACACTGTCGAAAGATTCCGGCTCAACCGATTGTCCGAGTTTCAGCTTTTCAGCTACTTGTCTAAAAATTGTTGAAAAACCCGTTGTGACATCCAGTTTTTACTTTGGTAACAGCCGATACAGCAATACAGTACTGGAAAGGCTGCAAAAGAAGCTACAGTAGTTCTTAGCTTGTCTCCAAGCTACAGTAATCCCTGGCTTTGTCTTCAAGCTAGAGTAACTCCTAGCTTGTCTCCAAGCAGTAATCTATAGTAATGATTCGGACACGTATAAAAACTAGGTGCACGGTAACATTGGCTGAATATCTTATATCTTAAATATGCTAATTTTTAAACTCAGCCCACTTGGGTGCTTGAATTAGAAAGCTCTTGAATTGTGAATGAATTAGAAAGCTCTTGTTTACTCAGAATCGTTATTAATATATGAAAAATAACCAGATGACTGAATATCTTCTATCTCTGCAAATTTTAAAACCCCAACTCACTTGGGTAACATCCTATGCAACAGCAAATCACTCTTCTTCTTCTCTTCCACCAATTCTACCATCCGATCTTCTACCTGTAACGGAATGCGATCGAAATCCCATCCATTCCATCCATACCTCTTTTTCCAATGTCTCTGCATACGATTCCATTAACCCAAAAACGTGATCCATCAAATTTTGTTGACCCTTGTTTCCTTGACTCTAAAGATTTTTCTTTAGAAGGTTTTTCTCTTTTTCAGCTTTTCAGGATTTCCCTTTAAATTGAAAGTCATTTACCATAGATTTGATGATTGTGTTTACGGTGGAGATGTTTGGGCGCGCCATCGGCTCCTCCGACCAACAATCGCGGATCATATGAAGCTAAATGGAATTATCTTTTGAGACTTTTGAACGATCTGGAACGCACAAGAGCCATCTGGCTTACCAGAGCTCATATGAAGCTAGGAAACAATGGCTAGAAACAATAGCTAGAAACTTTGGAGCCAAAAACCTTTTGCACACAATTTGCCTCCTAGCTTACCATGGCTGGGTTTAGCTCCATTTCTTCATTCACGTTTAGCTCAGGACGAACCAGTACATGTGACGACCCACGTTTAATCATGTACAAGATTTCTGAAATTTCTCAAGGTTTCTGCTTTCCAGGATACGCAAAACCTTCGACTTTTTCGTCACGATTATCCAAATCGTACGCCGTCTTCCTAGTGACGACTTCCGAACAGATTATCGCGAAAGCATAGATATCGGCTTCTCTCGTTCCCCCGCTTTCTGGATGTCGCAAAAGCTCTGGAGCTAGCCAGAGTTGTCCTAGAATCGTTTTTGATTGCTTTGAAAACTGGAAAAGCCAATCTGGATGTGATGCTTGAATTCTCAAAACTGAGCCCACTTTTTCTCTCCATCTTCTCGCCTCTTCGAAAAGTCGTGCATCCAAATCCGCTCACTTTCAACACCCATCTCTCGTCGATCCAACAAGTTTGAGAACTGAAATGCCCAATCTGGATATCATACTTGAAGGGAATGTTGTCAAGTCAAGGTCGAGTTTTCATCCGGACTCTGGCTCTGCTGTTAGTTTTTCTGTAATGGGAGATATTGGGTATACAAAATTATAAAACTCCTCACTTCATAAATGTTTTCTGATGACCTAGTGGTCGAGGTGGTTTAGGCTTTTTGCCCTCGTTCGAATCCCTTCACTGCCCACTTTTTGTTTTGTTTAGTTTCCACAAACAATTTTGATGAGAAAGTGATGAGAAAAGCTTGTAAACCAGCGGAAAAAAGACCAGATTTTGTAGGTGTTATCCCCGTTACAGAAAGGTTCCAGAAAAACTCCAGCAGAGTCAGAAATCCACGATGAAAACTCGACCTTGACATGATAACTTTCCCCAGTACTGGAATGACCCTGGAATCCCTGGCATAACCAAACTGGATGTCATGCTTGAATTCTAAGAGTTACAAACCACAAATTTCCGTGAAATCCAAGAAACGAGTTCTGGATGAATTGCAGCCCCGCAATCAGATCCCGAATCAATGACATGGCAAAGAAAGCATCCAAATTGATTGATCCTTTCTGGATGACATCCTGGAATCAGTATTGAGAGGTACAGTACAGTACAGTACAGTCAGTACAGTACAGTCAGGTCAGTACAGTCTGAGAATTGACTTTAACAAAGAGCTACAGTACCTCTAGCGTTCCCCTGGCCGCGTATTTCCAAATGGACATCATCGGCGAGTGATCGAGGCAGATTCCGATGAAACGGTGCACGTGATCGTGCTCCATCTTTCGGAGCTGTAATTTTGGATGTCATCGAGTAGTTTTTGAGGAAAAAAGCGTGAGTGATTTTGAGTGATTTGAGTTGGGGCACCATCTACCCGGATTCCTCACCATTCTGAACTCGGCAAAGTCCTCATGGGTCAATCTGGGCAGAGTTCTGTATTTGTACGCGGAAACCGGCTCATCTGGACGAAATCTTGGAAAAGTTTTGAAATTTCAGCTCACCATTCATTGTAAAATAGGCAAGATTCGTTGTTTCACTTTTGCTGTTCACGGAGAATTTTGAAGTCGAGGATTTGGATGAACGAGAAGAGTGAAGGGAATACAGACTCTTCTCTTCGTTCTGGAAAGAGTTTAGAATTGGAGCTTGTCAAGAAATTGACTCTTTTTGCTTTGCCAGGTCTTTCCAGCAGAAGAGACGGGATTTGCCATTCGGCGTCCTGGCGTTCTCGTTCTCGACGCTTTTCCCTGAAGGACGGGGTTTGATGGAATAGAACTGATGGAATGGAATAGAACAAAGGCCAGTTTGGCATGTTTTGGTCTCGATTTTTTGATCTGAATCTGGAATTGAACTAAACAAGACCGAGTCTGGAATTGAATTAAACCAGACCGAGTCTGGACCCAGCAGTACTGACCCAACAGTACAACAGTACCCAACAGTGTCAAAGCACGGTCTAATATACCATTCTTAATCTTGATTCGATTGTTGACCGGACTTTAAAAAGATGATTGGAATTTGGTGGTTGGATTCAAATTCGTGACCTCTCGCTTACACCGACAAGTGCTCCTTACCGCTAGAGCCTTTTGCCTTACGAGGTATCTTGGATCCGTCAACTCGGGCTCTACACTTTCAACTTTTGGCTCTAGCTTAGCCTTAGGCTTAGCCTCGAGGTAATAATAGTTTTTAGACAAAAATCTCTTTATCATTTTTTCTCCGAACCTGAAAATATAAAACATGACTGATAAGAAGAGAAGGCCGAAAAGAAGAAGAACCGATGCCCCGATCACAATGTACATTCCACTCTTTGCCCAATCAGTTAATGGACAAGTTATGCCATCAAAACTGAAAAAGATCAAAAAATGATCGA